ACTTCGTCAGCGCCGCATTAACAAGATGGTGAGGAATTGATGTTTATGTCATATGACATCATGCATGATTTTTTTTGTTTTGTAACAATTGCATTTTTTGCAGACCCCTTCACCGCTCTATAATTTTGAGCAGTGGATCGACACTGAGATCAAGCCTGAAGACAAGGAATTGATGCAGAAACTGTTGCGGTGGGAGGCAGAGGACAAGAAGATGATGGAGAAGAGACGCGGAGAGGAGGCTGCAAAAAAGGAGCACAAGGAAGATGGAGAAAGGAGGCGTGTTGCTACGTACAGGGAGGAGAGGGAGAAGAAGCTTGAGCGTGCACGCCGAGCGAAAGCAGCGATGGAGGAGAATCCCGATGCCTTGAGGAAGGGAAAGTGGCCTCGTTGCACTTAGTAGCCTTCATTACTTATTAGTTCTATGGTTTATTCATAAATAATGTTGTCTACTGTTTGATTTTGATTGTGTTGTCATGTAATGCACTTTAAGTATGGGCATGCTTAGATCATGTACTGCGTTATTTAGTTTGTAGGCATGTACTTCTAGTATTATTGTGTTGTTTAATGTTTCGTAGTATTGGACTTTTCATTATGTAGTTGTTTTCATTATTTGTAGTCATAATATTCAGTTTAATATTGCGGACGTAGTGAAATGTGATCACGTGCTTCAAACAAAACCTAACGAAGTAGGGCATTATATAATTCAACACACACAACATATGAAATGGCATGTGAGAACATGTACCGAACTAGAGTACAAAGGTCCTGAACTAAACCTAACCTGCCTTAGGTAATTGAAGCGAACAATAAGCACATGAAATAGCATATGAGAATATGTACCAAACAATGGTACATAGTTCTTTCAACTAAACCTAACATGCCTTAGGTAATTAAACCAAACAACAAACACATAGACGTGTCATGTGAATAATGATAGAGTCGTCCTAGTAGTGTGGCCACATAGCAAATTGTGTTGCATCTTCTCCACAGTAGCCTTCCATTGTTGGTAGTGGTGGTGGCGGGGGAAACGGCGGAGGCCCCTTGTTCTTGTGATTAGGGAAGGTGCAATATGGATCATTGCAGAGTGCCTCCTGTGAACTTGCACCATTGTTGTCGTCGTCTTCGTCTTCCTTGTACCCGCTGCTAACTTCCCTTTGTAGATCGAAGATTTGGTCCTGTAGGTAGTAGATGTACTGCTGATGCGAATAAATTGGTCGATGATCGACCCACCTAGTGAACCCATAGTTTTCTTCGGACTCGGAAGACTACAATAAGTATGTCCTGTGAGTTGTAAGGGTATTCGAGAAACATATTTAACAAACGAAATGTAATAGCAATTACCCATGCTCATGGGCATTTGAAGAAGCGATGACCTCCGTCGATCCCTGTGGGGGTATTAACCCCTATACCCTTATGGCTAAGCTTGGGCCGGCCCGGATCGATGGGTTCGGTCCACCAAAAGACGACGTGCGGCCCGGTTAACCTGATCGGAGTCCCGCGCAAGGAGTCAAGGTGGATTTGGCGATCAATCAAGATCCTGGTCGGTTAGAATAGGAATCCTTATCCGACCACATATGGCAATTGTAACTGGCTAGGATTAGTTTCCAGATCTGTAACCCTGCCCCCCGAACTATATAAGGCGGGCAGGGGACCCCTCTAAAAAACATCTCTCATTGACATACAACAATACAAATCAGACGCATGACGTAGGTATTATGCCTTCTTGGCGGCCGAACCTAGATAAAACCTTGTGTCTGTCTTGCGTCACCGTCTTCTTTGTGGCTTGCGCATCTGTCTGCCGACAATCTACTACCTTGGGTATACCCCTAGGTAGACTGCTGACCATATTTCGTCGACAATCCCCTAGGTGAATATCTGCACTAAGCAGTCCTCACCATGCATGTATTTTGGCCAATCTTTCTTCCTGTTATCGTATCCTCTAAGGCGGCGCGAGTGGGCTAGGGCCGCGAGCGGCCGGCACGGCGGGGGCCGGCGCGGGCGCGGGCTACGTCTGCATCACAACAACCACGCACGCATGCATTCTTCATTTATTCGCAGGCACAGTTCTGCTCTGGATCGTCGCAAGGATCAGGCCATGCGTGCTTTGCTGGAACCGGCCCGATCCAGCATCATCCTCCGTGTATCTATCTCGTCAAAATCAGATCATCGGGTTTAGGCCCTGCTTGAATCCATAGAACTAATAACTACTAGTTCACTAATTTTTAGTCCATAAGTATTCAAATAGGCAGACTAATTCTTAGTCCACTAGTTATGGACTAGTTGTTAGTTCACTAGTTCACTCATAGAAGTTAACAAGACTAGTTGATACTTTACTAGTTCACTCATAAGAGTTAGCATGACTAGTTGTTAGTCCTAACTCATCCAAACAGTCCCTTAATAATCCTCCTATACATGGAACACAATAGACGCGCGGTTGATTTTCTTCGACCAGTCAGAGCGTATGTCGCATCCGAGTGTCCGACCGGTGCAGGTCTTTGATGTCTAAGCAGCCGTCACGTGCCCCGTAGACACAGAGACACCATGTTGGTGTTGCTATCTCTCTCACTCAAAAGGAACAGAATTGTTTTTGACAATCACAAACCTAAAATTTTTATGTCAGGTCTTACTCTGAGAAATTTATTGGCTTCGTCATTGGAGTCAATTGCGGCGTTGTGATGACAAGAAAGAACACATCATCTTTACTTGTCGCACATCGGAGACATCAACAATGGCCTTCTTCACCTTCCATAGGTGGCATTATGTCTTTAGCCTTAGGTGGCATTATGTCTTTAGGCTTATAAGACTGATTTTGTTTTAAGCATCTGTGTCCTGTAATAATTTTGATCTAATTCCTCACTTGTGGGGATGATGCCGGATGTTATTCCATTATGTAAAAAAATCTCACTCACTCGTGAGCTGTGAGCAAAGAGCAATTATATATTATAAAGGGCTGGCTTATGCACAACAACGACCGAGAAACTATACGAGAGAAAGAACAAGTGACGATAGGCGAATCAACTACTATATATATATATGGATGGACGAATCAACTCCTTTATTATTAGCTTTCTCTAAGACGATACAGTGTGCATGCGATTTTCTCTGGGCTTGAGAGCTATGGGCCTATGGCCCATCAGGATTTTCTGTTCCTACTAGGCTGACGAAATTTGCCATCTACGACAACTGTCCATTCATTCTTCAGTCGGTCATAATGTTGACACAAATCGGGTCGTAATGTTGACACAAATCGGACTTTGAAATAGGCCGGATGGACTTTTTCTTCGTTCCGGCTGCGCAGATCCAAGTATTTGGCCCTACCCCGTTCGCCAATCTACTGAATCTGAACCTTCAGCAACAGTGGCCGACACGGCGAAAATCAACAGCCTGTTCCGTTTCGTCCCACGCCCCAACCTTCCCCACTGACCTCCCTTGATAACGGAAGTTAGGCAAAGAATTTGCAACAGCATCAAAGAGCTGATCGACTTTCGGCCCATATAAAAACTCAAAGGATAACACACAATAGAAAGGAAAGAAGACAAACGGGAACGAGACAACACATCTGAGCCGTCTATATTTTTGATATATAAAAAATCTTGTCTTGTTTGACTGAAAATTAACAAGAAAAAAGTACTTCCTCGTCATGCATCATTTTTGTTTTACCTAAATCAAATTCTTTCTTATATTCATGAGATCCGTTGTGAATGCGGCTGATCCAGTCCTAACGCCTTCGGGCGGATTTATTTTCGAAACATATATGAGATGGATTTTAGCCCTGCCCTTGGCGCCCGTAGGTATTACACGAAGTCAATCGGTGAGAAGGAGGAAAAAGAGACAGAGAGGTTAGCTGGTATTGAAATTTGACAAACTATACTAATTCAATTCGTTGGCGCTATACTACTTAAACATTATTTTTTATTATAAATTTATTATTCTAGCGTAACTATGGAAAAGAAATTCGAACCGCAAATTATCGCCCATTAATTTTGAGAGAGAGCGATCCCACTTTTTTAACATTGGAACTGGTGCGTATGGTCCCTCTCTTTTCTGTCCGACTTTGAGTCTGTCTCTTCAATTGGTTTTCCCGGTTCCTTGTTTTAGTCCCGTGGATCGCTTCCCGTGAGCATTCCATTTTCAACCACCATTGGAAAAATTCGGTGATCCGGATTATTTATATTAATTGGAATATGAACGTGTTGGTATAATGTTGGTATTTGGCGTCGGGAACTGTTCATTTAACCTGGGCATGCGTAACGTGAACATGAACGTGGTGGAATTTTATTTATTTTGTTTATTTTTGGATCCAACGGCGAGCGCGCATCCAGAAATTAATAAGTCGAGATTTCACGGGACCGATTTTTATTCTCGAATCTAAAAATTACATATTATACTTTCAGGAATTACAATAAACTAAAACTACAATTTTAATATAAAATATATACAATAGCTGGTGCCAAGTCCCTTTTTTCTCTTGTTTAATTACAAAGGTGAATTGAGGCGGCGTCATATGAGATTTGAAGGATGAGTTTAGTCTTCGGTCTAGTACTAGAAGGCTTGGTAGTTCTAATTTGTAATTTCAACTTAAACTTACTTAGGTACATCGATCTGAAGCAAAGATGAGGCCGTTCGAAAGAGAAGAAACTATTATTGGGGGTTCCCTAACTGACGAGCTGCTGCCCGTGTTCTCCCAGAGCAATAGCGTCGCCAGCAATGGCGCGGCGGAGGAGGCAGTACCCGCCGCCGCAGTCGGGGAGGACCTCATGAGCCTGGCCGCCGGTGGGAACGCCCCGCCGTCGCCCTTATTTGCCGTCGGGGACCCTCTCCTCGACGAGCTCCAGCTGCAGGAGCAGCTCGCGTTCCTCAACGACGACGGCCACCACCAGCTGCCCCTGTTCACCAGCTAGTGCCGGAGGCCCGGCGCTGGGCCTGGCGACGCCTACGAGGCCACCAAGGTGGTGTTCTCGCGGATCCAGGCGCTGGACCCGGACCACGCCGCCAAGATCATGGGCTTCCTCCTCATCCAGGACCACGGCGAGAAGGAGATGATACGCCTCGCCTTCGGCCCCGAGGCGCTGCTCCACACCGTCATGGCCGAGGCGAGCAAGGACCTCGGCCTGCTCCCGGCGCCCGGCTCCGGCCCGGGGTCGCGCCAGATTTACCTCACCTTCCCGGCGGACAGCACCTTCCGCGAGGAGGACGTCTCCAACTACTTCAGGTAACTAACCGTTCCTGTGTTCCTGTGTCCCTCGCGAACCATGCGCGGCCTGTTCTGACCGGCTCCGGCGAACCACTGCAGCATCTACGGCCCCGTCCGTGACGTGCGCATCCCGTACCAGCAGAAGCGCATGTTCGGGTTCGTCACCTTCGTGTACCCGGAGACGGTGAAGCTGATCTTGGCCAACCCGCACTTCATCTGCGACGCGCGCGTGCTCGTCAAGCCCTACAAGGAGAAGGGCAAGGTCCCCGACAAGTACAGGCATGCCCGCGACCTTCCATTTTGCCTTGCTTGTGCTCCCCCTTCCGGCAACTACATACAGCCGCCACCTCTAGGCTTTTCGCTCTACGACATCATGTCATGACCGATCGCTCTGCTGCTACTCTGCAGGAAGCAGCATATCAGGAAAGCACCTGCTCCAAGTGACTGAAGCGGCCGCCGGCGGGAGGTTGATGACGGTTCAAATGGGGAAGCGTTGCGTGTTCGGCTCACGGGCTTGGCTCTGCCCATTGATGAGCGGAGGCGGCATATATATATAACAAGCCGATGTAATGAACCTCTGTGTGGCTTATGTGAAAACGAGAATAAACTTGCTAACTGAATTCCCCCTTTCCGCCTCTGTTCTTATTCCCTCCAGCTATCCATGTTCGTCACATTTGGTATATATCTAGAGCTTCGTTCCGAGGGCTCCAGAAAATTTTTCGCTCCGTCGTGTGCGTGCTGGCGCCTGCAAAGAAACCCACCAAGTTCGAGAAGCAGATGGCAGCGACGTTGGAAGATCTGGTGAAGCAGTTTGAGGGATTCCAATCCATGATGAAGCAGACGTTAGACGAGTTGAGCGACCTCAAGACTTGGCGCGGGTGTACCACAGCTCGGACTCCAAGCATCGGATCATCTGACTCTAGCTTTAGACAAGTTCTGTCATCCTTCCAGCATAGATAGTGTTTGGGGACATCAATATCCGGAAACGGTACCCTCCATTCATCTCAGTCCCAAGTGGGAAATTCTGAAAAGGTGGCTCCCGTAGCATGGCTAGGATTATTGCCATGTCCACGGAGGTTCCCTTGGCCCAAGCAATTGGATCCTCCTCGTCGGCCTCGTCGACTATGCGACCTGGCAGGCGAACCTTGGGTCCTTGGCCATGTAGTTCACCGTGCCATGGCCAACGCCTCGAGCATAGACCGCATTAGCATTATTGCAGACTTTACCTATATTTTCTCTATCAACATAAGTTGAATAACTTATAAATCATCTTAGAACGGAGGGAATATAACTGGCTAATATTTCATATATTCTCGGTGAACAAAATACATATATTGTTCATGGACGATTGGACATAAACAGATCCTTTTGCACTGAAGATTGACTATGGATGGAAATTAAAAAAGAACTCAAATTGCCACAACAAAAAAAGAACTTTTTCGTTGCAGGAAAAATATTTCTTTGGGACAACTACACAGCTACTTTTTGACCAAAATTCAAAGAGCTAATTTGTGTAAGATGAACAGCACAACAAGCTAGAGTAAGATCACATGATGGCACATGCACTGGAAGGGTACTCTTCGTAGCTGAACTTGGTCTCACGCACGATCTTGCACCCGTTGCACCCTCTGCACAGCGACGGCCCGGGGCAGCACATCGGCTGCGGCTGAGGCGGCGCCCAGCAGTTCATGCCGCCGCCGCCGCCGTGGCACCAGGCGCACCCTCCGCAGAATGGAGGGCCGCCGCACTGCGCCCATTTCTGAGGGCCACCGCCGCAGGGCGATTGCGGATGGTTGTGGACCGGTGCCGGAGCCATCCCTCCGCACGGCGGCCACTGAGGCAGTTGATGCGGGTGGTGGAAGCCGCCCCGGTGCGCCGGGTCGTTGCACGGCCACGGGTAGCAGATGCCACAGATGTTCGTGAGCTGCAGGTTCACCGTCGTCGACGGCGGCGCCGCGGCAGGCTTCGCCTTCTCCACACCCTTGTTCTTCTCTTCTGTGGGTTTCTTCTCCTCGGCAGGCTTCTTCTTCTCTTCCGGCTTCTTGTCCTCCGGTTTCTTCTCCTCTGTCTTCTTCTCTTCTGGAGGTTTGACGATGGTGATGTCCTTGATGACGTCGCAGGCCTTGCATCTCAGTATCTTGGACAGCTTCTTGGGGTCGAAAGCACCGACGACGGTGACCTTGTTCTTGGTGTTCTCGTAGTCAATCTTCTTGATGTTCTCCTTGGCTGAAAGATGTTCCATGCATGCAAAGTCCAATCCAAATCCAAAGAGGAAAAAAAAAGAACCAAACTAATGAAGCCACGGCCTGAAATAAAATGAAATTCGACTTGATGGATCTACACCACAGGATTTCATACACTGAAGTTTGCAGAGAACTTTCTGAATCTTCTTGTAACATTTCTCGCACTGGAGGTCCACTTGAAGGATCAAGGTAGAATCCTAGTAGTAATCAAAGGCGAAACCAAAAAGTTTCAGAAATTAAAAGCTATACACATTGCGTAGGCAAATTGTGTTATATTTAAAAATCAATCTGCGTTGACATGGTAATTGGTAAGGCACAACTAACCTTGGTTGTCATGGTGCGCTGGAGCTGCAGGCACACCGCACACACTGATTCAACTCGTCTGCAGAGACGCAGGAAACGAAAGAAAGAAATATATAGGCAGGCGGCGTCTCAATCATACACTACTTACTACTCAGCAATCTTCCATGAGAGAACAAAATGTTAATCGACTGGTTGGTAAGGAGGAATCTCTAAGCACATTGGAGAGCTTCCAGAACCTAATCTCTTATTATTTTGGCATGATGGGGGGTTCCTAACAACCACCTTGTGATGCTCCATGATGAGAGCAAAGAGTCTTCGAAGTCCAGAGCATATCGACTGTCCAGTGACACCAGTACGCGCGAGTAGTACTAGTATAGTCCCCAAAACGTGGCAGTTGGTTCCGAAACTGCTGCTGAATGCTGAAACCACCAAAACTGATTAACCACTGAAAGTGCGCAGCTTTGCACCTCGACACCCAAGTTATTGACCCAAATTTCTCCTTCGCGGTTCTTTCTTTATACAGTATATACTAGTCCATCAATCAATGCCTATGGACGAGTCAAAATCTTATTATGCATAATGTTTCAGTTAGAAGGTACAAACTTATTTAAAGAAACCACTTATACAAAAAATTTTATTGACAAGAAATAACTTAAAGTGAATTGTTAATGACATTGGTATGTGATTTGTTAAGGAGATATTTTTCAGTCTTGATAAACTATTAAAACAAATATTATTACAATGTATACATGTGCATATGGTGGCACAAACCATTATGTGCTTACTTTATATTTAGTAGTGATAGAAAAGTAATTATATATGCATGTAATTTAGATACAAATTAGAAGTGCTACTCTACCTCCAAAACCATTATTATCTGAGGGGAAAAGACTACTCCAAAACAGTTCGACTGCAGTCAGCAGAGCAGAGCCGGCTGCTATATGGACACACGAACTCTTGGACGATGTATGCTCGATTTCCTGGATACCTGCATGCATTATATGTCAGCACGAGACAGTAAAATAATCCGTCGATCGGCCGCCCTCATGTCGAAACGATCATCGGGTTTAATAATACCTTAAATCCTTAATTTTATATATATATATATATATATATATATATATATATACTGTTCTGCAGCTGGTCATAGAATAATTTATTCTGTGGCCACTTTGAGTTACGATAATTACCATGCTAGTTTACGATATTACAGTAACTTCTTACTAAATGATTTACTATAACATTATCGTAAATATCACCGTGAGTTGTAGTAACACGAGTATCATAAATGCATATTCATGTTATCGTAAATTGGTACAAATATTATCGTAAATCAAGGTGGCTATAGAATAAGTTATTCTATGGCCAGCTGCAGAATAGCCTTAATTTACTATGTGTGAAGAATAATGCTCCCTCCGGGTTAATATTAGAAGTCGTCCTGCGCTCCGTCGGCCAGAGCAGATTAGAAGTCGTCCGTGTGGCGAGGCGTGGGTCTTGGACTTCTTTGCCCCTGCGTACTTGCGCCGCGCCGCACGCTTCGTTCCCCGACGTAATTAACGCCGCACGCCTCGCCTTCCTTCCTCGCCGGTTGCCTCTCTTCGGCCGAGACGTCGCGCCTCTCTTCGTCCTCGCCATGGACTCCGCCTTGCCGCTCGCCCTGGACTCGGAATCGCCGCTCGCCGTGGCCTCCTTGTCGCCGGACTCGATAGTCATCGCGCCGGAGCCGTGGCTCCGGATCTTCTCGTCGAGCTGCAGGACTCCGTCTTGCCGGAGTCGGAGGTGGTGCCCAAGGACGACTCCTCCCCGCTGGACTCCGAGATGGTGCCGGAGTCCCTCGAGTTCGTGCCGGACTCCATGGCGCCGGAGTCGGAGCACGCGTTGCCGCCGGGCGCTTTTGTTTGCGCTCGCTGTCATCTCGTCCATGAGGACCACCAAGCGTGGGATCGTGCACACTCGCGTTTCTGGCCATGCTCTCGCTGCGGTCTCGTGCACTTGGAATACATGCTCCTCGCCATGCTTTACTGCCTCGACGAGTTCGACTACAAGGTTTTCATCCCCGATCTGGACAAAGTCGTGATGCATGGCAACAGTATCAAGTTTGATCCACAAGTGCTCAAGATGCTCGACGAGAAGTGCGAACGTGAGCTCGCTGCCAGGAAGGATGACGGCATAGCAACGGTAAGATAACAAGCTTTACTTCTAATTAGTTAATTCTTGCAAGGAAAATAACAGCAACAATGTCTCTACTAATGAAGAACACAGCAACGTTCTAAAGCTTCCAATATCTAATTAGTAGCTTTTTCTCTCTACAATGCAGCAAGTGTAGTCTCAGCTTCATCTAGCAAGGATGGTGGGCACGGGATAGAAGTTGGCAGGCGCCCTTGTCTTTCTAATGTCTCCTTTTTCATGTGAGGGATCTTGAAGTTGTTGTTGCCTTTCTTCTTCATTGCTTCTATTAAAACAGTTTGTAGTGTTACAAAGATGCGGTTTGCTTTACGTGGACAATACTCCATGATTGCCTACAAAGATCAGTGATGAAATTAGTTGTTGGAATGACTCCTTGGTATGCACAATCATGTCCTAAACGACTTCTAATACCAGTACGGAGGGAGTATATATATATAGGGTAAGGCTATTCTGCAGCTGGCCATAGAATAACTTATTCTATAGCCACCTTGATTTACGATAATGTTTGTACCAATTTACGATAACATGAATATGCATTTACGATACTCGTATTACTACAACTCACGGTGATATTTACGATAATGTTATAGTAAATCACTTAGTAAGGAGTTACTGTAATCTCGTAAATTAGAATAGTAATTATCGTAACTCAAAGTGACCACAGAATAAGTTATTCTATGGCCAGCTGCAGAACGGTAGCTCTCTCTCTCTCTCTCTATATATATATATATATATATTGTACAATCTATCAACAATCGTTTCGTTATTAGGCGTGTTGATGGATCAGCTCAGCCTCAGCTGCAAGTCATGGCGCCAACCACCGCGATACCATGCATGCATCCATGTTGGGTAAGCATGATAGCCAGCTAAAACGGTTTCTTACCGGTTCCTGCTCCGTGTTCCCAAAGCACAGGTTTGCAGGCACCGGCCTACTCATAGGGTTACAGACCCCTGTGTGCGCGTGTACGGGGTTCAGGGGTTTTCTCGACCTGTGTGAGAGGTCTCTACCTTAAGCCGAAAATCCCGGCGGCTGTCTAGCCACCACGTGTCGAGTTTTTTTTACCGCTGAATTATTACAAGGTGCGCGATGACAAGCTAAGAATTTCAGAGAAAAAAAAATTGCAAAGTGTTCAGAATCCAAGCTAAAGCTAGGTGACTAATAAGTATCGTATCATGATTGTATAATATAGTACTCCTAGTCCACAATAATCTCTAGAGAATGGACACGGTAATTCAGGATGCCTAAATGCCTAATGCATGCATGTCGCTAAAGAATGGAGCACCAGTATTCAGGCTGCACTGGTGAGCTAGCACATGACCCTGATTTTCAATTCGCGGCATGTTTCTTCATTATTAAGGATGAGCACGACATCACAAGATGACAAGACATGAATAATCGCATCATACGCCCTAGATTACGAGTAGTTTACCAGGGCATCATAACATAAGACGACGTTGACGCCCTCCAGCAGTCCATTCCAGGAAGAGTGCACACTGCACAATGCCCATATATATCTCTTCAGCCTGCACTGCACCACCTTGTCGGTCGTACTCGCTTCCAAAACAAACAACCATCAAGCATCGGGCGGACGTTGTGTTGTGCACCTAAGAAAGTACTAGTACTAGTAATTAATCAGTGCAAGTAGTATTAGCTCCCTCCATCTGTCTTTTCTGGTGGCATCACGTCGATCATGTTCTACCGTATCAGATATAAAGTAGAGTATGGCTAATAATTTATCTTGTTGTTGACTACTCTCTTTGTCCTAAACTAGTTAACACTTCAGCTAATTATTTGTCCAGATTCATAGCTAAAGTGTCAACTATTTTGAGATAAAATGAGTATATGCTAGTGTCATTTTACCTATGGCCGGTCTATCGGTGTACTTAGTAAGTTAGATCTTAATATATGTTAGGGTTTGTGGAGCTAGACGGACTAGCAGGGTACAAGGGCATGTTTTGCAATAATTCACTTCTCTATATCCCAAATCCAAATTTTATAGCGCAATTATTGACATTGTTATCTTGTTTTGTGGCATGTATATTTATCTGTATGTCATGAAGGTTTTGTAAGATGAAGTCGACTGATTTGAAATATTTGTTAGAAAGAGCGAGCGGCACTAGAGGGTGGTCGATGGATCACAGTCTCCAGCATTTACTCAAATTTATACCACCGTATATACTTTTGTATTTACTACTTCCATGTTGGGAATATCCAACTCAAAAAAAATCCTGGCTCTACCACTAGAATTCGTTCTCTTCCACAATTTGACTTCAGTAAGGCTAGCTGATGTAGCCATCTATTCCAATTGTTCTGATTTCAGGTCCAACTGCGTCACAGATTTACGCAATTGTTCTGATTTCGGGTCCAACCGCATCACGGATTTACGTTGCACTCGTCCATAAATCGATCTCCTCGGACAAGAAACCTCTTCCAGTACTTCTTGTAGTCCGGTATACCTAATTCAAGCCAAGGTTTCATGTTGCCATTGTAGTGCAATGATGCAGATCTCCGCGCAACCTCTTCATCAATTCCATAATCATATCCAAGTCCAGCCAGGGTCAATTTTTCATCTAGAGGATATATTAGATGTTGGAAGGATAGCAAGCTTAGAGGAAATGCTGCTGCTCGCAGGGACAGCTCATCCTTGACTTTGAACTGTAACAAAACAAGAATAATGAGATAAATAACCAGCTAACAATATGAAGAAACATCTGAAATACACTAAAAGATACCATTGCTTTCAAAGTTCTATTGGAGAAAATTCAACGAAAAATGAAAGAAAGCAAACTATTTGGTTGCACTGTGAAAATTTCTTTCAAGCCTGTAAACATGCAAAAATAGAAAG